GATACGCATATATATATATATATATATATATATATATATATATATATATGGAGTGCTGATAAATCAGTTCTTTTTGGCTGTACGTTTCAAATATCGAGCGTAAATGGGCGCCTGTTTATTTTTAAGATAAATAAATAGAACAATCTCCTGGCTACACGGTGCGCAGTATATCCTATTGCTTATTTGGTAAAATTTTTTAAATAGATGATCGATTTTATTTAACGCGTTATTATTTATCTAGGTGGTAAATATTTAAAATGTCTCCTTTTTAGTATAATAGTACAGGGTGATTTTAAATTATTGTCGGGGTTTCCGTAGCCTATAACGTTCAAACCGGAAACAAAACTACTTACAGAATATGAAAGTATAACTCAAAAAGATTTTTATTTGGCAATGCTGTATTGATGTTTGCACTCGCTGCATTGATCTGACATCACACTCCCCAAAATGACGAGTGTTCAAAAGAAAGCAATGTGCGTACTTTAGTTTTTTTAAACAAAGTTTGTTATCACAACACAACGTCATTACAGAACTCAATATAGAAAAGATTCTCTTTCAGATATATAATGATGTCCGACGTTAGTTAAAGCATTTCAAAAGACTGGTAATGTTCAGTACTAAAAAAGAACGGGAAGTTGGAGCACTTCGCAGAAAGATGTTGATCGAATCCAGGAAGTGTTTTCTCGAAACCCACAAAAATGAACTAGACGAGCTTCTTTACAGTTAGTTATATCACAAACGATTATTTGGAGAGTTGTTCATAACCGCCTTCAACACTTGGAGGGAAATTAATTATCACTTGGAAATCTTACGTGTCACGAAAGGTGCGCATGTTGAAGTTGTTGTTTAGCATTGTGCGGCATTAATTCTATAGATAATGAAACTTTTTACGTTACATTCTCATATTCTGTAAGGAGTTTTATTTTGTTGCTTCCAGTTTAATTAATTAAAATTATAGGCCCTGGAAACCCCGACAATTATTGTAATTTAATTTAAAATCATCCTGTATAATATCTTAAAATCAGTGATCAGTATTCACTATCATCATTTTACTTATCTATATGTATATTTGCCGAAAACTTTGTACATGATCGAACAATGGTAAAATATATCTGAAAAAAAAAACACAATAAACTCGAGCGAAGAACGACGAAACTCCTACAAAAGGAGAAGTCGAAAAGGGCGTAATAATATATATATATATATATATATATATATATATATATATATACCGGAACAATTCTCCCATCCTTCTACTTTTTCATTCAAAAGTGAAGCACTTGTCCGTCTGTAACGTCCCCATTTTTTCTTGGCGGCTTTTCGCACCGGTTATTTCCACCCTCATTTGTCCTATCATCCTCTTGCTGCCACAAGAACTCACAAAACTGAAAGCAATCGATTTATCACAAGCACACGCGCTGTGTATTCACGCGCAGGTAATTTGTTTCAGCATATATTGTATATATACGGTAAAGACGTCAGACGAGAATGGCGAAGATTACGCATTATAAATTGAATGGTAAATGTGCTGAATCATTTCCCTCCCTTCTCTGCCACCTTCCTTCAATCTTCTCCTCTCTCTCTCTCTCTCTCTCTCTCTCTCTCTCTCTCTCTC